ATAAATATGGTAGCTCATTCCCTGTTGCGCGTGGTATTCAAACTTATGATTCGAGTTGATTTTGGAGGAATTTTTATTTGTATTATTATTATTTAATTTTGGTGCCAGTTGGTTGAATCTAATGGTTGCATGGATTTCGAATAACTGGGATTCTACTGTATAAGGTGGATAATATCACCTTTACCAAAATTAACCTAAGGGGGATATACAGTGCTCCCTCGGTTAACGAATGCCTCGGTTAATGAATTACCTTCCATATAAGAATCTTCAATTCGGTTAACGAAAAAAAATCGATTAACGAAATCCTTACGAAAATCACGTTTTGTTTTGAACATCAGCTGATAAGCTGAGGAGGTACTCAGCCAATTCAGTAATCTCTTCTATGTTTACATTAGTTTCCAATGGAGTAAATATCAAGAAAATTGTGCTCTTTAATATTTGTGCAGTATTAAAATTATTGGTCATTCTAAAATTTAGCCATCCAAGCTCTGTCTACATAAAGTTTTTCAACTACCATTTTTGGCTCGATATATATAACTTTATTCATTTATTGAAACTCATTTACATGCACACACTGTCCTAAGGGCAAAGCTGTACAGTGGGGTATGCTATAACGAATCTAATTGGTTCTAGAACCTCGTTCGTTATAGGATTAATCCGTTTCAGGCCCCCAAATACAACCACTTAACACTGAAAAATTTCTGTGGAAATTGTAAAAAATACTGTCCTTTATCTTACCTTAGTGTTGTTCAGCATACAGGACAGGAGGCAGAGGAGGAGGGGGGGGGAGGAGAGAACTGACTACACAATGAACCAATATGGCGCCTGATGCTCTTGCTGTGAGCCGCAGTACAACAATACTCATGCGCCAGATGAAATAGTCCCGTATACATGCGCGTTCGTTGTAGGAGTTGCGTTCGTTATAGCATTCTCAATTTTATAGGTAAAACCGTTTGTTATAGGAATATTCATAGTAGAATTCGTTCGTTATAGCATACCCCACTATTGTACATGTACACAAAATAATGTACAGAATGATTACTAAGATTTTTGTCTAGTGCAAACTATAGCATCATTATATTCAAATTAATCACTATCGCATAAGAATTCCAGCAATGTAAGTTATGTTCTCTCCGGTCACTTCTGTGACATCTTATAAGCAAAAAACAAAAACTCAATCTAAAGGACATAAATAAAGAATTAAATACTTCACACCTTGGCGCCAACTGTCAAACATGTCACTGTCTCCCCTCCCTCCCTCCCTACCCCCCCACCTTCCCAGAAAAGGTTTGGTGATTTTCAGTAGGTTTTAAGTTTTTTCTTATATAATATCTCAGACTAAAGTTAGGAGAATATAATTTGCATTGCTGGAATCCTTGGAAGACAGCGAATAATTTGAATATAAACGTCAAATATTTTGCACAAGAGATAAAATTAATCACCTGTATCACATTACAGTAGTGATTTAAGAGTTCTAGTGTGTATATATATATATATATATATATATATATATATATATATATATATATATATATATATATATATATATATATATATATATATATATATATATATCCCATTGAAACAAAGGTTTCGGTTAATGAACAACCCTCTGGAACGAATTGAGTTCGTTAACCGAGGGACCACTGTAGTTAGCTTAATGAACTTTTGGTGTGTTAACCACTTCTGGCCCTGATTGAGAGAGTCACATATAACTGAGCTGATTTTGGCCATGATTATTACATTAGAATGATGCAAATAACATTATTTCCATTATAAGCAAGTAAATTTGGCTAGTAAATACTGTACTTTGGAGATAGTGGTTGATGGTAATGGTATGTGATTACATCTTTTATATAGTAGAGATGCTGTATAGATATGTGTGAGCATTTATTTAATACAGTTTGTTTTGTAATACAGTTTTGCAAAGTGCAATAGATTTCCACAATATACTTTAATGAAATCTAGAAAATTCTGTGGGAAGCTTGAATGATGCATTGTTTGTGTTTATTCATATTTTATATTTGACAGAGGAAGCTGTTAAAGAAGCAGAGTCAGCAGTTCGTGGAAGAGATGTGACCCCATTCATTTTGCGACGAGTATTTGAAATCACAGGAGGCCAGAGCCTGAAGTCCAGTATCCTTTAACGGTGTTCCTAATATAAAGCATAAATTACAGTATGTAGAGATTAAGGATTCACTTGATATTCCTTGCTTAAAATTTAGGTTACAGTATAAGGAAGTGAGAGTAAGTTTTTCTACATGTTGTATCAGCCCATTCTTGTACAGTCTCATCCAAGATTCTTGGAACACTGCTGGAGACAGCTGGCCTCTCAAGGCTGTTTGTTTACTTTATACAGTAGGACGTCGATTTAAAGCGATTCGGTTTAAGACTATTGATTTAAAGCGACACCCACAATTAAGGACAATGTTTTTAAATTTCGCGCCTAATGTTTCTCTGGGCATGCTACACTGTCCTAAGGGCAAAGCTGTACTGTATATGCACTCAAAATATTGTAGTAAATGATTACTAAAATTTTTGTATAGTGCAAACTATTGCATGATTATATTCAAATTAATCACTATCTTATAAGAATTCCAGCAATGTAAATTGTATTCTGCCCGATCACTTCTGTGACATTTTATCAGCAAAAAATCAAAACTCAATCTAAAGGACATAAATAAACAAATAAATACTTCACTAGACCTTCGGAGCAACTGTAAAACATGTCGTTGTCCCCTCCCTCCCTCCCCAGCCAGGGTTTGGTGGTTATAGGCTTTAAGTTTTTATCTTATATAATATCACAGACTAAAGTTAGGAGAATATAATTTGCATTGTTAGAATCCTTGCAAGACAGCAAATAATTTGAATATAACTGTCATAAATTTTGCACAAGAGATAAAAATTTTAGCCCTTTGCAATAAGATTCCTAATTAGAAGTAAAATATGTACTTCTATTGCGAACTATAGCATGTTTATATTCAAATTAATCACTATCTTATAAGAATTCCAGCAACGTTAATTATATTCTCCCATGTCAGTTCAGTGACATTTTATAAGAGAAAAACTTAGTCACTCTTAAGGACAGATAAATAAATAAGCACTAGACCTTGACATCAACTGTCAAACATATCACCTCACCTCTCTCTCCCCCCTGTAACATAAGAGAATTGAATAATAAAGAAAGAGTAAAAGTAAGTAAAAGAGAGAATAAATAAATAAATAAATAAAAAGAATTGAAAAGACAATATAAGAGTAATTTGTTACAACCCCCCCCCCCAATCTTCCCATCAGCTGATCGCTAATAAACAGACCTTTTCACGTCCCATAATTTTAGCTGTGTTGATTTATGAATGTTTGTTTAAACAATACTACAAAAAAAATGTTTTGTTTATTCTAGGAGATGGACTGAGGTGCATCTGGGTAGACTCTCAGTCTTTTAGTATTTTGTGTTTCTCTCAAGTACCAAACTAAATTATTCCATTGAAACAACACTTCGATTTTGTGCTAATTCGGTTTAAAGTGACCTCTCTTGGAACGAATTTTGTGTTATATCGACGTTCTACTGTACTAGTACGTAGTAAAAATTATGAATGAATGTAAAAGTGATCGGTGATTGGTTTCTTAGTTCCTCGTTGCTTAATTAATGGTTGGGCTTTGTTGTTTCGTATTATGCTGGTATATACTGTTCATTTGAGTTGCCAGCTGTCTCCAGCAGTTTTCGAAGAATCTTGAACGAGACTGTACCTTTCCACAATAGCATTGTATTACTTTTCCTATACCAAATCTTCCTTTCTTTATGTTTCTGTTTACTTTGACTCACGATATGCATTTGGGATTGGAGGAAAAAGTTTAAATAGATACAGTTAGAATAGTTACAATCTTCAATCTTAAAAAAAAAAAAATTAAAAGATGAGCCAATCAGAGAGGTGAAGTATACTCAGTTGGCAAGGAAAGGTGTATATGTTCCAAACAGTAAGAACTGGCAGAAAAGATATTGTTTGATTTTTATTTCACAATAATTTCACTGAGAAAAAAAAAGAAAAAGAATATTGTCTTAACTTCTGGTAAGGGACTCACTTGTAACTACTAGTACAGTATGTTATAATACTCCCACTTTTTATTTATTTATTTTGTTTTACCTTACTGCCACCACATCTCATAGTGGTCAAGTCAAGGAAAGGAAGCCTGTGACTTGTTAAGGGTCCTCCTTTTATTCCTGATTATATTATTTAGGGTTATATTTGAAGGTTTACACTGTTCTTGCTTTCATCTCTTAAGCAAATTTTCACAGGCCTATCACTCTCCTTGTAATAAACTTTCTCATTTACTGTCTGCATGACATACTCACCAGCTTGAATCTGTGAACCATTGTTCATTTGGTTTTCCATCTCTAAAACGGATTTTAAAAATGTGTGTGAGATCTGCCATGTTGTCTTGTTTGAAGAATTGTCAGCCCCAAAGCCTTAATCCAATCTGTTTATTCATGATGTCTTATTTCAGGAATGATTCTAGTCCAGTTTTATTATGTTTTACATTAACTGATGTCTCCATGCAGCTTTCCAGGTTGGGATTTATGAGGGATTTGGAGATTTGAGTAATCATTCCCTTGCCCTTTTATAGTATTCAAAGGCACAAATTGTGGTTCCTATAGTTTTTTTTTCATTTTCCACTTATGCTGTAGTCACTGATTGATCAGCTATGACACCCTGGTAATTTTTCTATAAGCAGACACCAGGAAAGTATTGTTTACAAAGTAATTGTGTCTTTGAGGTTTGTGTCTTTACATGAAATGTTTTGCATTTTCTATACTGTACCTATATAAATAGTGATTGCCAGTCATTTAACACCTTTAAAAAATGCTCATGCAGATTATTTTACACTGAAGTAATATATTCTGTCCATATTTTAAAAAATCTAAAATCTTTTACCATGACCAAACTTGCTGATGTAGCTTGAGATATTTTCATTTTGTATCATTTATGTAAATCATGGATGTTAGGTCCCAAGAGGGATCCTTCTGTTATTCAGTTTAGAACTAGCCTTTTGAGTCTTTCCTGTCTTTTAGCCAAAGTTTTACCTTTCCAGAATTTGGTCAATGATTCCAGGAAGAACCTTTGCTTGTGGGACTTTGTCAATTGTCTTCCAGATTCTCATGTACAAAACATTGATTGGAAAACAGTATGCCACTGTTTATAGGATTGAGCAAATTTGTTATACAAGATTTACTCTCCTTAAATCTGTGCTGTGATACCTTGATGAGTTGGTGCTTGTCAGAATCTCTTGATGAGCTTGCAGAAATGTAAAGTTAGACTGCCAAGTTGATAGTGTTCTGTACCACATCTGTTATTCTTTAATATTGGGATGGCATTTGCTAATTTAAAGTACTGTACTGTATTTAAAGTATGAAAGGAATAATATTGGTTCAGTTGATGTATAACCTAGGGAGGTTACATGAAGAGTGTACAGTATAAGCTATTAGGAGATATATACTGTACTGTAGTACAGTATATGTAAATGAGAAATGATAAAAAATCAGAATTAACCAAAGTTTCCAGACTTATATTGTATGAGGTAATCCATGAAGTGGAATTCTCAAACTAGATCTGTTTCTAGAGCTGACATCATAATATCTATCAATGTGGATCTGTGCAGCATCCCCGAATGGGGAGGTAGAAACTTGATTAAATTAAAAAATAATAAAACTCAGGATTTACCAATTACACTTTCCAAATTAGATGATCTCCCACCAATCACATTTCAGGATGCAATCATTCTGCCAAATTCTAAAATGGCTATGCTCGGCCTCACCATTTCCTCTACTACTGTAAGTCATGGAAACCACACATCCTCAACATTGCTAAAGCTACCTCCCGAAAGCTGGAAATGCTGTACAAATGCCATAACTACTTCACTCCTGAGCAGTTGCTTCAAGTATATAAGGGATTCATTCGTACTAACTTGGAGTACTGCTCTCATATCTGAGGTGGCTCTTCTGTCTAATTGTTAGATAGGCTGGAATCAAAGGCATTTTGTCTCATTAACTCCTCTCCTTTAATTGATAATCTCTCTTCCCTTTCTCTTTGCCGCAATGTTGCTTCACTCTCTCTCTTTTACAGGTATTTTAACGGGCAATGTTTGGTGGATTTGGCATCCTGTGTACCGCCGGCAAGGCCGTGGGCTCTTAACACACGTCTTGTCCGCGGTGCCCACCGTTTCTCTGTGGCTGTCGGTCACACTAGAATAATCTGTTATAGTACATCCTTGTTTCCTCACACAGCCAAACTGTGGAATGCTCTGCCTTCTTCTGTGTTTCCATACTCATACAATCTTTTGCACTTCAAAAAGCTGTTTTTCTGGCATCTTCGTGGTGTAGATTAATATATTCTTTTTCTTTTTTTCTTTTTATTTCTTTTTACTCTTATTTTTTTGCCCCTTAGGCCTTGTTGTGGGTCAATAATCTGTGCCCGGGTGGGCTATTAAAAAACAACAACTTTAGAGTGGGTGATCAATCAATTGACTTTTTTTCTTTATATGAACCATTTCCTTTAATGCATTTTTTTTATCAGTACAACTTCTTCCTTAGCATACACAGATATTGCCCTCATTGAGAATAATGCCAAGGCTGGTGCACAGATAGCAATGGAGTATGCCAAACTGTTGACTCCATCATCAAGGTAACATTCTGTAATTGGTGTGCTGTATGTGATTTCATTGAGTTGATAATATTTTATATAGGTTAGTTTAAAGGTACCCTACCAGTCTATCATTAGTTCCAGCATCAGGTTAGACTAAGTTGGTGTTCAGTCATTTGATCATGGGGGCTTCAGGGAATAAGTTACTGGAGAGGTTGAAGTGATTGACATTATTGGAAACTCATCCTTTTTTTTAAATTAAGGAACTTGTCAAATTTCTCATTGGTATGCCAGATTTTAGCCTAAAAGTTATCCAAGAACTTTTACTTCATCCCCTGCTACTGTAATCCAATCCAGCTACTGTACAATATACTGTACATTTAGAATTTTTTTGAAGGACTGAAACCATACTCTTATCAGTATATATGTCTGTCCATCCACCTTTCCCTACTTCCCTCCTTTTTTCTCATTTCTCCATCCTTCCATCTATGACACTTTATTAATTGCAGTAACTTTATGAAATGGTCCGATTTTATTTTAAAATTTTCTATCGAGCAAAATAACCTAATCTTTTAGAGAAGTTCATAATTCAGTGAATTCCAATCTTAATGACAAGAGCTACAGCCCTTTCAACACTTGACAAAATGTTACTTTGTTATGTATGAAGACATAACTTGTGCAGTACAGTACCTTTGGTAAATCTGTTCTTCTCCCCTTTCAGTTTTATTCCACCTATACATCCGACCAACAAGAAGTCTCAGCTCTCTGAAGTGGATGGAAGACCTGTACGTTCCAAGGGTGATGGTTGAGCAGCCTTCTAATTTTCTTTAATATAAAATTAATCATACAGTGGTTATATCCCTGTAAAGAATTTCATATTATGATTTCACATGTAAGATTAATGCCTTTCAGATTTAATTTAATGAAAATGGCATCTTATTTATGAAATGTAAGGTGATTAACTTTTAAATATTTCTTTGTGTATACTGTATATATTATTGGGGGCACATAAAACTTATTTATTTTCTTATTACATGTGTTGAATATAGTTTGTTATAATAGTAAATAGGTTCCGACTTGATGGTCTTCTTGTACTAGAAACTTAATTCTCTCAGTACTGTAGGGGGTAGTAATTAATTGATGAAATTAGTTTGCTCATCTGACTGTCAGATTTTGATACAGTAGTACAGTATACAGTATAATTTATACATTCAGTATTTTCAAATATGATGCATGCAGTAGTTGCAAATATATTTAATGGCAGATACAGGTGTCTGGATTCATCTGGTGTATTTTCTACTTTTATATACAGGGTACTGTATAGAATATTGAATATTTTTCATTTTATAGTACAGCTGTACTGTTAGACAATGAATTTGGGCAAACTTGTAATATTTTTAATTTTGTACTTACCACAGTTCATTTCAACTTACATACAGTAATATATCTAGTTACAGTGAATAACTTTGAATTTATATGAATGTGTATGGGGTATTTTGTGATAGTTGTGATGTAGTGAATAACTTTGGATTTATATGAATGTGTATGGGGTATTTTGTGATAGTTGTGTTTTAGTGAATTTATATGAATGTGTATGGGGTGTTTTGTGATATTTGTATTAATGTTGGCTCTAGTCCTCAATATTTTAGTCTTTCTTTCCTTTTAACAATGACAGTATTACATTTATTGTTCTTTGTAATGGTGTACCGAGGAATTATGGTTGAGACCGAGAAATAACGAATGTGGTAAAATGGGGTAATGGTTTAGTGTGGAGAAAATTAAATCTTATAGAGTGAGGTAGCCATAGATTTAGAAAGTGGTTATCAGTTAAGAGTTTGGAAGGGTGTGTGAAAAAATAACATAAGAATAAAAGTGCCATAATTAGAAATAATATAGGTTCTGTCCTCCTGAGATAAGGCAAATTTCATATTTTGAGCACTTGTGTACACTGATAAAGTCAACACACTATTTACTGTAGTTTCATTTGTCTATCAACTGTTTTTGTGTACAGTATACAGTAAGTGTTTACAATCAACGATTTAGTTCAGCCAATAAGTTAGTTTCTAGGTTTTGTTGTATTTTATTGATTGTCTCTGTTTGTTGTGTTTGTGTTTAAGAACATTTATATAGTTGAGCCAATAAGGTAAATTAGGAGGTTTTGAGCTACATATAAAATATTATAATAGCTTACCGTCCTTGCATTCTTTTATTAGGACACTTGTTGCTTTATGTGATAGAGTAAAAGCGTGGTTGTAGATTGAGAAGTTAATAGTTGTAAGTACAGTATACTGTTCAACAATTTTCAAAGAGAGCCAAGGGTAGGCGCTCTCCTACGAGACACTGTTTGACCTGTTACTCACCTCACCACACTTGACTGCACCACATGAGAGATAATTGTACGTAATCAGTCCTAGCAAGCTTGCTATTTGAGATAAAAGGGTGGGATTTGTTGCATTATCATTGTAAATAATGTGTCAACAAACAGTTTTATATAAGTTATCACAATAAAATAATTATTTCTTTACGTAAGCGCAAGTAGGGCACAAAATATTTGTTTACGCTTAATGAAAAATTTTTCCAGTAAATTCGCGCTTAATGTTGTCCCACTTAACGTTGTTTCGGTACTACGTTGCTAAAGTTTAGAGACCAAAAATTCGTTTTATGTCCCAGTGATCCGATACTACGTCATTTTGCGTCGTCACAGACTACTTTCTACGTCGCTTCACCCACTCTCGTCTGGCCGTGCTGTGCTCTCTCGGCTCGGTGCAGAATCTCAGTGACTCGCCACTCTCCTCCTCTCCCGCCCTCCTCTGCTCCCACCCTCCTCCTCCGCTCCAGCCATACTCCTCCCCTCCCGCCATCCGCCTCCTCTGCTTCACTACCCACCACACACTTGCTCTACCATCTCTGCCCATTGGTGAGTACCAATACAAACTTAGTACGTAGTTGTATATGTATGCACTATTTTCTATGGAGATGGCAATGATTTTTTGTATATGTAATGTATTTCATTGGGCAAAGGGAGGCTCATGAACATAACTCCCGTATTTTATCTATTTCTTATGGGGAAAATTGATCCTCTTAATGTTGTTTCGTATAACGTTGCATTTTTAGGAACGTAACCCCGACGTTAAGCGAGGACTTACTGTACCTTACTTTATACCTTCGTTATTTCATGTGATTGCAATATGAACCTTATTCCATTATAAAGTGTACATATTTAAGAAAGAAGAGTTATAAAAGAAAAGTTGTGAAAAAATGAACACCTTGCTAGGGAGAGGCATCAGGAAGCACCACTATCACCATGTGGTGCAATCTCCTTGCACTTTTTACAGTTTCCCACCCCTCCACCCTCGCCGGGAACATGAGGCATGGTTTAAAACTCCCTCAACACTTATGAATAAATTAAATCATTGAGATGCACAAGAATTCAGCACAAGCCTCAAGAAAATGAGAGGTATGTAGGTCAATGTTACATTCTGGGTCCTTTAAATACAAAAGGGTAACTGGTGTGGTAACCTTGGAGTGTAGTCTACATAGTTGCCAAATGTGTGTCTAGCATTCATATGCAAACATAAGAATTTTTTTTTTTTTACTTTATACACAAATTTGCGTATAAAAACCCTAAAGTGATAATTTAGATCGTACGCAATTTTTCATATGCTAACCCCAAGAGTGTTAAAATTGTTCACTAGTTGTACCAGAAAATCAAGTTTGCAAATTGGGTGTTTTGAAAAATTTTTAAAATCCAAAAATCTTTTCTGACACTTTAAGAGTTATTCATATATGAAAATAAAGAAAACAATATTATTGTAACAGAATAAGGGAGAAGCAAAAACTATCATGAAGCTGATACTAAATTGTAAAAGGATACCTAAACCTTACAACTGTCAGGGTTTAGTGATATTGAGACCAAACAGTGGCAGTACACAATGGTGACTCAGTGCTTTCATCACTGTGACTTAAACTGGATCCTCAAGTTCAGTTGCATAAGCTAGCAATTTATATAATTACTTGTACTTGAGCTCATCACAACACGTGCAGAGTGAGCTGCCTCTCTTGATCCTATCCAGCAATTTTCAACTTGTCAACAATTGACAAACTTTTGTAATTTCTGCTCTGTCTCAATAAAGTTTCTTAACAGCTCTAGTAGAAGTGCTAGGACCTTTGTTGGAATGTTTTATGAAACAATTAAGGCTTCCAAAATATACTAAATTCAAAAAGTTGGTCAGAGAGAAACATTGAATGTTTATACACAAAAGAATACTGTACCCAATAATCTATGGTAACTATAGGTTACTGCCTCTAGTATGCACCTTGTAGCCTGTCTTATAAGTTATTTACTATGATTTGGAAAAGGTCAAAATACGATTTTAGGTTTGGAATTTCCAAGGATAAACAAATTGTGACAAATTACAATTCATGGGGTTTTGAATTATGGAGACTTTAAGCTAGAAATTAAAATTATTGTTACCCACAATATGAGAGTTTTAAAAATTGTTCATGTGTGCAACTCTTGCTCATATACTTGATGAACTTGAAAAGGTATAAAATATTAAGATAATGTTACACCCATAGTGGGTGCAGTAAATATTTTTTAGCAAAAATTACCATCAGTAATACTTTATCAATTCAAAACTCTTTAACAACTAGCAGAAAAATATCTTTTTTCTCTGAAATACTGTAATGACCAATTTACCTAAATCTGTACAACATACATGTATGATTAAATAGTCAACCAGGTGCATGATGCAAAGCTTGTACACTATTAGTGTACTGTACAGTTTACATATTGTTAAACAGATACCATGGTTAATTTACACTTTTTCTATGCCCACTAATTACTGTAATTAGTTACGTTTTTCTTAGAATCTTGCTTTTGCTACCCTTTGCCACCTTAGGATGCTTCATCTTGTTTAATTAGAGAGGGGTACTGTACTGCATTTTGATATTGTATAATAAAAAATGTGCCTGTTGCCTCTGTACATTGCCGGGTAATTACACCTCTAATGAGTAATGTTGCTATGCCAACTTATTTTATGTAAACAGTCTCAATTTAGTAATTAACCCTAATACATTGTTCTGTACAGAGAAAATTTTCCAGATTTAAAGTTGCTTACCTTAGTACAGTAAATTCCTTTGGGGAATCCAGAAGATCCTTTTGCGTCATTTACAGAGATTAATCAAACTTTAAGTACAATACTGACAGCTCAAGCCAAGACATATAATTAAAGAAATAAAATTTGCTAATGCAAGTACAGTACAGTATAGGAAAACCTCTAATTTTAAGAAATATTAGTCTATTTTTGAGAAATATTTTTGAAACTTGTCCTTGATCTCTAAGGATGCTTGATGGTTCATATTGCACTAAAGTAGCAATCAACTGTTTATTAATTTGAAGTAGGAAACAAAATACTATAACTTGTGTATATACAGCTCCTCCCCGACTTACGACCTACTCGACTTACGATCACCCGCATTTACAACCTGCCTCAGTCATACCAAAATTTGGTCAAATTATGTATTTTCGAGTCCCGAAGTCAGTACACAGACAAAATTTTCGTTTGTAATTCACTTTAAAGTGGCTGGCAAGCTTAAAAAAGAGTGTTTTGTGGTGCTGAGAAGGAAAAGAGACACCCATTTTAGATTTTCTATGTATTATTTAAGCATTTCTGACTTATGACCATTTCGACTTACGACCTGGATTTGGGTCCCTAACCCCGTCGTAAGTCAGGGAGGAGCTGTAGATGAATAATATTTAAAATGGTCGGTAACATTATTGCCATAGAAGCGCCAGTAAAAGCAGACTAAAGGAAATGTTCCTTCTCCAACTTGGTTCTTCACTTTGGTTACTTTCTCATTGAGCCTCACTTTATGAGCTGCCGCAATTTGTTCTGGAGAAAAAATCTTGTTTATTTTTAATTTACTGTCACCCTGTTACCTAGGCATGTACAGTACAGTATTTACCTTTTCTTGCTTCACAGTTTTTAAATTTTTCACATATAGTACCATACACATTTGTGCATTATTAAAACACGCATCCATTCATCAGGTAGTAGGCAGCTATCAAACAGGGAGGTACTACCGCCTGGGAAGATATTGGAAGCTTTATGTGTTATCTAATGGTAGACCCTGCTGCCATATGGCATCACAAAAATTGTAACCAAGTCCCAGGTTGCTGATCTGACTTTGTCCTATTTGCACACAATTGCAGGGTCTCAATTGTTTCTCTAACTTTGACAACGTAACACACATAATATAACGTATATCGTTTCTCACTCTTGATTTATTTTTTCGTTTTTGTGTTTATTTATGGTTACTGTATATTATTTTTATTTTATTTTTATTTTTATTTTATTTTTTTTATTTTTTTATTAATTTTTATTAATTATAATAATAATAATAATTTATTGTTATTATTATTATTATTATTATTATTATTATTTTTATTATTATTATTATTATTATTATTATTATTATTATTATTATTATTATTATTATTATTATTATTATTATTATTATTATTATTATTATTATTATTATTATTATTATTATATTTTTTTCCCCACCAGGTCCTGGTGTGGGTCAGTGACCTGTGCCCGGGTGGGCTAATCCCGTAAAAAAAAAAAAAAAAATTAAGTTTAATGTCCTCTCAATTACTTGAACCGTGGAATATAATTAAAGTAACTTTTGAACTGTATCACGTATATTTAGCCAAAGTTTATTAGAAGTTAAATAAAATACAGCATGTTGTATCTCATGCATTTCCCAACATCAATGGTCATGGTCACACATAAAAAGAAGTAATACCTGTATATGTACTGTGTTGCAAGTTGAAGTTGTCAAAATTGTACTGTATGGATTAATCCTCATAGATGTGTAAGAGTCACAGTGTATGGAGAAATTCTGCCAAGGGCATTTTAATAATGAAAGTACTGTATCATACTGAATATTATCTTGTTTTCCTGCTTTAGCTGAGAGTTAAAGTGACGATATGAATTTTTCAGCCCCTCTGCTTTTTTGACCCTCTTACTATCCATTCATTTTATCATATGTGCATCTTTCTGTCTGTTTTATGTGCTTTAGTGAAAATATAACTTCTACAGATAACAGGTTGAAATCCAATGAAGCTTTATTCAGAAACAGAAATACAAATAGGCTTTGCTTCTGTGCAAGTTTTACTTTTCACTGAGCTGAATTCTTGTTAATACAGTACAGTATACAGGTACAGCTTATACATTTTATAAACAAATCTGCTTAGGTGTTAATACAATTACCGGTAGTTACTCAATATCGTTGGTTTGACAGTTTAACTATAACAATATTTCTTTTACACTTATCAATCAATTAATCAGAGTATCGTCCTATATCTGGGGGTTGGTGGCCACACTCCTCCACTCTAAACATTCTCTGGCTATTCTTACCAATCCTTTAAGGTTTTATATATCTTTGTGGGACCCAGTTTTTAATTTCATTCATCCATTCCAGTCTCTGCCTTCCCCTGGCCTTTCTACCCTCAAATTTGCCCATTAATATTTCTGTTATTATCCTCTCATCCCTAATTATATGACCAAAGTACAGGGGGGTTTTCACTTAGCTATAGTGAGATAATAATGTTAGAATTTAGAAGAAAATGTATATAATGGTATATAAAAGTTCAACTAATCTAGTAATATCCAAGTACTGTACAGTACTGTATTTTGAATACTGTAGTTAGTTTTATGTAAGTACTGTACTGTACTGTATCAGCAGTTAATAGTTATGGTTGTTTAATGTGTTACTGAAAACAGTAGTTCTCTAGTTAGTTAAGTAGTGTGTGGTATGAAGTGAATGATCAGGCTGTCATAAATCCAATGCCAGATGCTTTTTGCTTTCAGGTATTGCACAGTATTTATATTTTGGAATATTATTTCTTTTTGTTTTGCATATTTCCATTTTTCTTACTATCTGTTGCCTTTTTGAATGATGGTTGTTTCATTTAGAATATGATACAATGAAACATTTTCATATTCTGATTTACATAGAAAGCTTTATTTTGCTATGGAATGCTAAGTGGTTTTACTTCTATTTCATTTGCTGTCTTTTCTTCCATTATTTTGTTCTGTTTTATGACTTGGCTTTTGCATGATTGCTCTGCAGGTGGTGATAGGCGGAAGCATCGTTGATTTTGTTGCAACTGTAATGGAACCAGAAATTAAGGTAAGTGCATGATATAAATTGCAAATTTATTGCATGTTGATAGAATTTTTTATGGTTCAAGGTGCTTCCCAGCAATAGGATTAATATTCCAGCAATATGGATCAATGTAAGTGTCGAAATTAAGTACATACCTAGTGAAGTATGCCACAACAGTTTTGAACCCTTAGCAGAGGTTGCTTTAAGAGTGAGAGGTAGGCTACAGAAATGAGTTGCAAAGTTCAGACTCTAACTGTTCCTATGCTCCTCAAATATAAAATGCGATATCATAATTCAAACTTCTTTTTATAGGCTATGGTTATTGGCCAGTTCAGTAATTCATCATATAGCAAACTAGTAAAAGGCTGGTGTATTAGTCTGAAAACTCCCACAGTCTTAGCACTCCGCATGCTGATAATGCACATGTTTGGAAACAAGGGGATCTCTCAAGTCTCTGTATACAGGACTGTATTTGTTCTGTGAGCTTCTCCTGTCTGAGCACTCCCGAGTGATCAGTAGTAATTTGCATTTGGGTTAAATTAGGTCAAGTCAGGAACACAAAAATTACAGTACGTACAGTGATTCCTCGGTTAACGAGATTTCGGTTAACAATTTACCTTCCATAAGATTCTTAATTTCAGTTAACGAGCAATCCCTCGATTAACGAGTTTTTTACGAGCCGACCTCAACATGTTTTCGCTTGCATTTGGCGGTCCACCAGCTGTAGTATTAGTCTGCCAATACAGTAATCGGTTTTAGGGCTTAAATTCCTTACTATTTTAGTAAATATCAAGAAGTTTATACTATTCAATAATTTTAAAAGTTAAATATAATTTTTTTTAGTCATTTTAACACTTATTGAACATAATTGAAGGTAAGGAAACCAGTTTCATGCGCGCCATCCAGCCTGGCAACACACCAAACAGGCGCCAGTCTCTCTCTTTTCAGTGGAGGTAACATCTTGCTTGAGACTCTCTTCAACTAAACCCTTTTTTCTGTATTTGTAAGCAAATTATTGGTCATTTTGAAATTTATTTTACATATTAACAATATATAATGCAGTGCAGTGTTGATTTAAAGAAAATAATCTTGAATTACACCAAGAGAACTAAAATTTTATGGGTGAAATGGTGCCATGGGGTGACTTCTCTTCCACCCCAATGCCTTCTCTTCTCCCTTCTCCTCCTTCCCCATTCTAATTCCCATCATCATCATCATCCAGGAGCCTTCTACATACACACCTCAAAGTAATGTAATGTAGGCAATTTTCGGTGAGCTGGAACCAATTACCCAAAAACCCATTGAAACAATGGTTTCGGTTAACGAGCAACCTGCTGGAACGGATTGTGCTCGTTAACCGAGGGACCACTGTATTTACACATGCAATTACAAATGTCATAATTATTATGAAGTTATCAGAGTACTGCATGTATTACCAAGGCACTAGCAAAACTAAGAATGAGGGAAGGTCTCAGCCCAACCGAATATTGAAAGTTTTTCTTGAATGCACATTACTAAGGGAGCCTTCCCTCATACCACTACACTGGGACAGAGAAGGTCATTAGTCATTTGTAACATAAGTTTATCAGAAATGCCTCATTAGGAAGTACAGCATACATCTTTGAAAAACTGAGGATGACTGTAAGGAACTTCCCAGGCCCATACATTCATATGATGAAGATTTGTTGTCAAGATATTGGGCAAGAAAAACTTGTGGTTGGTCTTGCTTATCTTTACAGTACTGTACAGGTATCCCGCATTTAATGATCATTCACTTCGTGATATTTCAGTGTAGCACCCATTCTCGTTTACTTATGGTCAATTTTCTGTTTAGTCATGTTTGACTCGCTGGAATTTTTTTTTTGGGGGAGGGGGGGAGTGGGAAAAACTGGTGATTTTATGCTACAAGTGTGCATCATTAAAATACAGTACTGTAATTTGGTTTAGAAATATAGAAAATATAATATAAAACTATAAAATAAAAACATTGAAGAGCATGGTTGTGTATGTGTGAAAAGCAGAGAGGTCACCACGAGGCCTAGGTCAACCAGTGCCGCCTTACATGACGGAGGTCAACTATTAAGCCACGCCTACCTCCGCTATATAAGATCTGACCTCGTGGTGACCTCTCTCTTCTACACCAACCAGCAAGCAACTCCTCCTCCTCCTCCTCCTCCTCCTCCTCCTCCTCCTCCTCCTCCTCCTCCTCCTCCTCCTCTCTCCTCCTCCTCCTCCTCCTCCTCCTCCTCCTCCTCCTCCTCCTCCTCCTCCTCCTCCTCCTCCTCCTCCTCCTCCTCCTCCTCCTCCCTCCTCCTCCTCCTCCCTCCCCTCCCCCTCCTCCTCCTCCCCCTCCTCCTCCTCCTCCTCCTCCTCCTCCTCCTCCTCCTCCTCCTCCTCCCTCCTCCTCCTCCCCTCCTCCTCCTCCTCCTCTCCTCCTCCTCCTGGCAAGCATGGCAACCCACAAGCTGGTCCTCCTCTGAGCATCCTCACCAACCAGCTCTCTCTACTCAACGCTTGTAACCATGCTGCCTTCCCAGCACCAAGCTGCATTGTACATCCAATATAATATGTATACAGAGAGCACATTGTGAACTTTCCTTTCTCCATCCCATCCTGAGTGTGAACCAAATGCCCGTACCCCACCGGTAAACTATTTGGTGACCCTGGGGTTTTAATCCGATTCCCTACGTCTATACAGGTAGATGTTCTGTCAAAACTGTCTTCTTCCTTTTATACCTGTGGGACACCCAGTGCTTGACAGCTGTCGCCGTGGCAATCTTGAGGGGGGTCTGTCCAGACTCTAATAATTTTCTTAGCCTTAAGCCCAGCTTACGATGTGATTTAATTTTAACTGTTGGTTTACTAAGAATAATTATTATTATTATAATGCTAATTGTTTTTTTTTTATGCCTTGGTGTCAAGGCTTAAGTGTCAAGGACACTTGTCTAGGCCTCTTGTCTGGTGTGTTGGGAGGGAGGTGGGGGGGGGGGATGTCAACCTTTCTAATTTTTTACTTTATTCTGAAGAAGAAATTTGCCCCTTGCTGGGATGACTTCCTTTATATTCACACCTACTAATTGTAATCCAAGTGAAACTGAGATGTGCGAGTTATCATGCCCTTGTCTTTGTGGCAGACTAAATATTAAAAAAAAAATCACTTGGCTGTCCTGCTGGTCTTGGACCTCGTTGGCACCCTCGTTCGTCCAGTGTTGCCGTCCTAGACAGTTTGGCTTGTTTTTCCGTTTTCTTTTTCTTACTCTTATTTACTTTGTTTTCTTTTCCAGTTCTCCTCGACAAGTTGTTGGTATCTCCATGTGCTATCACTGTATCTCGTATGCGCAATCACAGTCCTTTAGAAAACACGGAAAAAACTTTCTTGTGGCTACAGTAATGTGCTTGTTTCTTACAGGCACTCGTGCCTGTTGCTTTCCTCATTTTTTTTCACTTCAAATTATTTTCAATTTTATCCTCGGTTTCTGTTATCTATGGAATGACCTAGCTAAAGGCACAGTAGGCCTACTATACTGTTCTGTTCATCCTTTGGTCGGTCAGTTTCAGTATGGACATGACTTTAAAGTTTTCTGAAATAAATCTTGGCAAAGCCACTGCCACACTAACAAATTTGCTGTTAATATAGCAACAATATTCACGCTGACGTTACTGCTGATTTTCGTTAGTAAATTAAATAATAGAATAGATCTGAGCGTGATAAACTAAATATATTATATACAGGCAAGAGGAAGTCAAGGAAACACGTAAGGTGTCCAGCAGTGATGTTAAAATTTACAACTCGAAATAGCCAGGTGGAAACAAAATTAAAATAGGTTGCTCTAGCTGGGATTTGAAATACCGTCATGTCAGCGAATGGTCAAAACAATATAAATGGCGGTCAGAAGAGTTGTCAACTCGTCGTCAACATACATTTTGCTGAGATCAGGTATCCACTCCGTCATTTATGTTACCAAACAATTGCAAAACTGAGTATACACTGTAATGACGTTGTGCTATACAAAATTGTTGCACGTTTCCTTTTCCTTGAATGTAAAGACGTTCCGCTTCTCTTGTTAGAAACTAGTTTGTAATATTTTTGTATTTAGCGCAAACATTTAGATCAATTTAAAAATAATAATAATAATAAGGGTAAAGAGCTGACTAGAAAGATGATGGCCATTGTTCTAATATTTATCCCAAATTAAACATTGTCATACTGTACACCATTCACGTTTAAAGTTTGTCACAATATTCTCTATAATTTTGGAGACCATTGCCGATGTTGTATATTATATGCTCGATGAAGATGTCCTTTTTTATAGGGTGGTGACGTAATATCCGCTGCCAATATTCTGCGAAGTAACACAGTATATTCTCACAATATTGATTGTATATTCCTAACTTGAAGTCTATTATCAGGGACATTTCGTAGCTTCATATCAATGATGGATCGGTTCTTGTATGTGTAGTTAACATGAATACTGTCTAAGGCTATGCTGTAATTATGTCTACAGTACATAACACTTCACTTACCGTAGCTTGATGTTATGTGACCACTGGCTTGATGTTATTACACATCCGACTTCTCCATTATATTCCGAGATATATACAGGTAAATGCTGACACACACACTCAAGCACATATATTATGTAGTTTGCTTTATTTAATAAACATGATATTAGTATCATTCTTCATCATTCATCAGTAGCGTCGTCTGCTCTTATTAATAATTATTCTTCCCGTCTCGTGCGTCGAGTCTTCACCCGAGCCACACTGCTTCGATACCAGTTCCACACTGTGTTGGTGGGGAGGTAAGGCAGGATGGAACGGCCTGTTCACCCTCCGGCCCCAGGCACTGTACCAGTGTGTACCACCAATTCCTGACCCTGACTGTGCATCTAAAGGTGGGAGTTACAGTACTTCTTTAGTGAAAATTTACACCAACTGCAATTGGCTTCTTGTTTCACCTTACCCTAGCGAAATTTATAAACCAGTACATTTTGGTTTATTGTTGCCATCTAGTAGATGGCAACAGTAGATGATCCAGTAGATGGCATCTACTGGATCATCCCTCTGGCAATGTTGGCAAGATCATGTGCTGAAGAAAGTGATCTCCTGCCATCTATATATTTTATTTAACTACCCCAGGGAATTCTCAAAATGTATGTCCGTAATTTGCATGTCTTTCTTGGCTATATT